AGTCCAGTTAGAGCTCGTTTGCCTCCACTTCCCCTTCTCCTTTTCCACTTACTGCAGCTGTTTGTACTTGCATTTGGGCAGAGCTGATGTGTTAGCCTCAGTGCACTTTGTGTTATTGTTTTTTTAATGTTTACACTTTGCTTCAGTGAAAGAAAGGTCCATTTTCTCTATAAGCCTAGATGTGTAGTTATACTTATTGATGGTCTCACAGAGACCGTTTCCTAGAGAGAACTCATTCGTCTGCCTCAAGCCTGATTTGCATCGAAGAGATGCACACACTGAAGAGGTGCCCACACCCATCTGAGTCTGGAGTTGTTATTAAACCCTTTTAAAAACTACTTTCCAGAGCTTGTCTTATTTGTGTGCCATATTGAAATGTGATTCCTTCCCATGTTTTTTCCTTCAACATTTTATTAGGAAAATTTTCAGATACACCGAAAAAGAAAGAACCTAACAATCAGCACTCATATACGCACCACCTTGATTGTATCATTAACATTTTGCTGTCTTATCATCTGTCTATCCAACTGCCCATCTCTTTACCCATGCATCTTTTTTTATGAATTTTGAAGTAAATTACGGATATTGCTATACTTTAGTAGAATGCTTTGAGAGGGACGGGATAGTCATGCTGCCCGAGGACTGCCAACTCTTGAGTGCCAGGGGTAAGAAAGCCACACACATTACTAAGTGGTATGGATTAGCTCATTTTTTTCCCCTTAGCTCAGCTGTAGTTGCAGTGGTAATTTCTCATAGATTATTTCAGTGTTTGTGCCTTAGAAAATCTCTTGGAAGCCAGCTGGTACCCCAAACAAACATTTATTAAGGAATATGAACTCCACAGAGAACGTCCATTACCTCCATGTCCCACAATGCAGGCCAAAGTGCTTTCTTGTTCGTATGCCCTAAATTTATTGTTGAACATAGGAAGTAGGGCTCTCTTTTATCATATAGAGCTGACAAAAGCCTTAGGTTCTGAGGTACAGAAATTGTTTCTAGGCTGTTCTTGGCATCTACAGTTGTTTTACCATATGGTACTGGGCTAATTTTATCTGTTCTTCCCTTGAGGCTTTTGTGAATTGATTACATTTTTAGAAAATTTTTTAAATAACTTTTTAAAATGTCAGAGCTTTCTCAGTAGAATAAAATATGATGAGAGATTACGTCAACAGGAGAACAAGTTATCTTAAGAGAATTTTTCTCAAAAACTTAAGCATTTCAATTGCATCTGTACTTACTCCATATTATAAATTAGCATTGGTCATGTTCACGAAAGCCCCTTTTGATACAAAATATAAAGTAATCTTGGACCTGAAGAGATAAGTCTGTTAGTTCAGAAATCAAATGAAAGTTTCTACAGCTCTTCTCTCTCTGGAAAGGTCATTTCCGGCCAAACATGTACTTCCTAAAGGGAAGCACAGGAGAGGTGAAAGAGAAAGAAGACAGCTTAGCCCATCAGCTAAGCCTAATCAGTCCTGGTCATCCATGGGATCATTCATGTCACTTTCAGATTTAAAGTGACATCCTATAGAGCAGCTACAACATAATAGACAAAGCCTGGATTTTTGAGCCAGAATTAGGTTTTATTTCTAGTTCTGAAACCAGCTGTGTGACTTTAGGTCTCGCTAGGCCTAGTTAGACTCACCTCAAGCCAACTGACCTATTTTCATTCCTCCCGGGGAATCCTATCACTGCTCACCCCGAGCTCAGAGTAACTCTCTGGGTGCCCACTGAGCACACTCAGGTGCCCTGGAAGCTCCAAGTGGGTAGCAGTCACCTACTATCAAGTGACATGGAAAGCGGTGGAGTAAGGAGCTCCAGGAATCAGTCCCACCACGGAAGCAACCACTAAGCTGGCACGTCTGACAGAATCAACTTTTTCAGAACTTTGGAATTGCTAAGTGAAAAAAAGCAGATTATGAAACAGGATCTATAGTATGATCTCATTTGAAGTTTTTAAAATAAGTATTTGTGGTACAGAGAAAAACTCAGAATATATGTGAATAATGTTTCTCTCTGGCTACTGGGAGTACAATTATTATCTTGTTTATCTGCTATTCCTAAAATTTTCTATAGTGAATATATATTACTTCTGTAAAAAATAGCAAAAGCAAAATAGAACAGTTTGGCAGTTTCTCAAAAAGTTAAACGTAGAGTTTCCAAGTGACTCAGCAGTACCACTCGTAGATACACACCCAAGAGAACTGAAAACATACGTACACAAAAACTTGTACGTGAATGTTTATACCGGCATAATTCATAATAGCCAAAAAGTGGAAACAAATCAGATTACTTGTCAGATAAATTGGTAAACAAAAGGTGATGTAGCCACATAATGGAATATTACTCAACAATAACAAGAATAAAGTCCTGATACATGCTTCAACATGAATGAACCTCAAAAACATTATTCTAAGTGAGCTAGACACAAACGGCCACATATTACGTAATGTTTATTGTCCAGAATAGGCAAATCTGTATGTCCAGAATTCTGTATGTCCAGAATAGGCAAATCTGTAAAGACAGGAGGTCTCTGGTTGCCAGGGGCTGGAAGGAAGGGGGACTATGGAGTCACAGCTAATGAGTATAGAGTTTTCTTTGGGGGATGATAGAAATGTTTAGGGATTCAATAGTGATGGTTTCACAATTTTGTGAATGTATAGTTGACCCTTGAGCAACACAGATTTGAACTGTGCTGGTTCACTTTTGTAGACAGTACTGTACATGTATTTTCTCCTCTTTATGATTTTCTTACTAACATTTTCTTTTCTCCAGCTTACTTTATTGTAAGAATATAGCGTATAGTATGTATAACATACAAAATATAGGTTAATTGACTGTTTATGTTACCAGAAATATATAGTAAAGTTTTAGGGGGCATCAAAAGTTAACCTGTGGATTTTCAACTCCAACAGGCATCAGTTCCCCTAACCCGCATGTTGTTTAAGGGTCAACTGTACTGAAAACCACTGAATTGTATACTTTAAAAGGGTGAATTTTATGATCTATGAAGTATAGCTCAATAAAGTAATGTTTAAGAAAGGTGAAATAGACTATAAGCTACAAGAATTAGAATTAAAAAGAATATATTTAGCAAGTTAAAGTCAAATTTTTCACTGAATTCTGTAATTATAGTTATGGATTTTTTTTTTTTAAGTCTTTAAGTCCAGTTAGTTAACATACAGCGTTATATCAGCTTAGAGTTAGGAATTTTAAAAGTGTAAGTTTCGGTAAAGAGATGAGAATCAGGAACTTATAAGCGATTATGTAGCTGAAGCTCCACAGCTCCCCCTTTTTTTTAGTGAAAATTTGGGACATTTTAAAACTGATATGGGAAACTATTTTCTTCTCTTTTTAAAGTTTGGCTTTGTATTTTTAATTATTTGCACTATTTTTGGAATTGTTATCTTTTTTTAATGCAAAGTAATCATTCTAATAGCTTTCAGAGAATTTTAAATGAGAGTGTAATACATGTATACTTAACTTGCGAGCAGATTTTCTCAAGTAGGCCACCATCTCTAGATCCCATTTGATGATGTATAAGTGGTTTAAGTATGTTCTAGAATAATATAAGCAGTATAAATAGATCTCATTTACCCCCTTATGATTTCCCTTTCTCTTGCCCCTTCCCCTGGCCTTTTATGCTCCAAAATGTAAAATGGGATTAGAGTACAATACCTTATTTTTAATTAATTCTTTCAGTAAGCATATATTGAGTGCCTACTATGTGTCAAAACACTGTGCTAAAGTTAAAGATACAAAAATAAAATATGTGACCCTGGGGCACTGGCTGGCTCAATCAGAAAAACATGTGACTTGATCTCAGGGTGTGAGTTGAAGCCCCACACTGGGACAGGGCATTGAGCTTACTTAAAAAAAAATAATAATAAAAATAAATAAAAAAACACCTGGTTCTAGACAGATAAAATGATACATCTCAGAGCTACTCTCTGAACAGTTAGGAGGGCACTTAACCCAGATAAGGAAGGTCAGTCAGGACTTGTTTTTACCGTTAATATAATTAGAAGGTTGATCTTTGAAAGCAAGGTATACCTATTATGCATTTTTAGAAAACTATTAAAAGTAGAGCTCATGCTTGGCTGTTAGCACATCCTACAACTACATACACACAGAAAAACATCTTGAGAAAAGCGGTAGGATCTGTTGTCTCCAAGATGTGTGTATAGGCCAAAACTCTTTTTTTTTTTTTTTTTTTTTAAATTGGCATGAATATAGGCAGTAGAGGAGCAAAGACCTGAGGTCAGAGTTTGGTTTCTGCTTCCTTGACTGCTAAACATGTTGAAGACTTTTTAAACTATCAGAGCTTTTATGGGCTCTGCTTATACTAATATATCTACCAAATTAAAAAGAAAAATATCATCGTGAACTTAAAGGAATTGCTATTTTTCACTGGTATCTTTTTAAAAAGCAGACACATCGTCTTTGCATTGCTTTCTGCAGGACTGATATGTATTGATATGGTCCTATTAGTTGTTAAATATTGAAATACATCCTTACTGGTTGGTAAAAAGCTGATGCTTTAAGCCACCTGGATGCTCCACCACAGTCTGTACTCTCCCCCAGGGACTCCAACCCTACATTTCTCCGCAATCCAACAACTAAAAGGTTGTCTCCAGGCATAGCAGGAAGCCTTAAGGACTCTGTTTCTGTACTACTTTGGCATCCATTCTGACTGCTGGTACTGGGCCATCCCCACTGTTTAATAATTTTGAATCTCACCCCGACTTTCTGACCGTTCCATAAACCATTGTCATTTTAACTGTGTTTGTTTTCTGCCAGCTAGAGTATCCCATGGCCCTAGATCACCTGCTCTCGCTTACCTGTGTAGAACCAAAATTGAGTTGCATTATTTGCTGAGTAACCCAGAATAGCATTGTACTAGAACTAATAGTCTCCTAAACCATGCTGCTTTTCTTCTGTATTTCTTTCAATGATGACAGTTTGGCCTAAGTTCTGTGCCCTCTTATTGTTCCTTCCAGTTCATTTTGCACCTTATAGGCCTCCAGATATCTCCCTGAAGCCTCTGCTCTTTGAAGTGCCCAGCATCACTACGGAGTCAGTGTTTGTTGGCCGGGATTGGGTTTTCCACGAAATAGATGCTCAACTTCAAAGTTCAAATGCCAGCGTGAACCAAGGAGTAGTGATTGTGGGAAACATTGGGTTCGGCAAAACTGCCATCATCTCCAGACTGGTGGCCCTCAGCTGCCACGGAACACGGATGAGACAGATCGCCTCAGACAGCCCACACGCCTCCCCCAAACGTACGTATTCCTTTTTAAATAACTCCCTGCTTCATTGCCCTGAAAGTTTTTCTGATAGATTAAGCCTTACATCCTTTTATTTTCTGATCTGCAAAACCTAACTTGCATGTGAGGACCATTAATTCAGAGTTGAGAGAAAGAATGTAATACTCTGTTTACATTTAACCCACATATCTAGCAGTCACCTAAGCGTGACTGAGAAAACCTTTCTGTGGGAATAAATTTATGAGTCTTCCCTCTGGCAGTCTGGCTAGTCTGTCCTTTGGATAATGACTGTAGCAATTGCTTCTAAGAGGCATTTGCCTCCATCACTGTCAGCTTTTGCTCAGCCTGTGCCCATGTCTTCTTGTTACATGCCAGCACAGTCTGCTTGCAGCATTCGATTCCTTGCTCTTGATGTCAGTATTGCACTGCTTGGGCTTAAACTTCATTGTGTCCTTGAAGGGTTTCTCTTGCTTCCTTGTGAAAGGATGCTGAGATCTCGTATGTATTCATGCTCCTTTCATCCCAGGCCAGGCACAGCTTAATGATCACCACCAGGATCTTGTTTGTTTATTTCTCAAATACTCAGGTGGTCCTTAGCACCAGGCACTGTCTAAGAGCTTAACAAATATTAATTCATCCAATCCTCTTATCAACTCAGAGAGGTAGTTCCTATTATCATCATGTCACAGATAAGTGATCTGAGGCTCAAAGAGGTTAAGTAGACCTCCCGGGTTTCATAGCCAGTAAATGGTGAAACAAGTATTTGAGCCTAAGCAGTCTGGTTTCAGAAGCCATTCGCTTATCCACTTTGCTGTCCTGCCTCTCCTTAATGGAGGCACTCACCTGAATAAAGGAGACGAGAGGAAAATAGATGTTCTTCCTATACTCTGTATGTATAGAACCAGTCTACCTGGTTTCTGTTAGTTACGAGAAAACAAAACCAGAAACTATTGCTCTGCTAGTCCAAATCATTAATCTAGCTCACCATAAGTTTTCAGACAGCCACCACTAGAAACTTGAGATTATAGTAGTTACAGTGTCTAACACATGCTAGAAACTCAATAAGAGCTCACTGAGCACCCTCCAGACATTCTGGCTTCCTAATGAAATTAATTGACAGTCTTGTGTCATTAAGTGGGCACATTGTCTCTGGTTAACTAATAGACATCTCACGTGGAGAAGAAGGACTAGTGTGTATAGAGAGAACTGGTTGAATCAAGAGACCCTGTTTACCAGGGTCTGGTAAGAATTGGTATGGAAGAATTCCTTTTTCACAAGCAATGTCATGCTTAGTTTCTACATGAAGCTTTTCTCAGGTAGATTGGCATTGTGTCATGAGAGTCAAGAGCTCAGATTTTGAGCCCCAGCACTCCAATGACTATATATACTCTGTAACCTTGAGAATTTTAATTGAAATTTTTAGATCTGTTTTCTCATCTGTAAAATGAGGAAGTGGGACTAAGTGATCTTTAAGATTTGTTCCTGTGTTAAAATTCTGTGATTCTAAAAACATATCTTCTTGAAATTGAAAAGTGGTTGAAATTAACTTTCCAACCTATTCCAGTGTTTTCCTTTGAGCACTTAAATATCACACCAGACTACATTTTATCTGAGTACTCCAAGACTCTTTAACTCTTTGAGTATGTCAGAAAGAAAACCAGATAGCTAATAATCTCTCTGACTCCTCTATATATCACTGTTGAGATAACGTGATGGTAGAATCCTGTAGGACAGAATAAATCCCAAGGGCAAGAAGAGCTGCTTTCTCAGAAAGCAAAGGTATCTGGGAGTCCCTCCCAACTAAGGCTGGGAAAGCAGGAGTTAATAGAAAACAGTTCATGTGCTCCCCAAAGCAGAGGTTCTATAAAGGTAGTTCATTAAGTTATTCTCTAACATCCATTGCCTCTTATCTCCAGAGACACTCTAAAAATACCAGGACACTCCAGTTCTTGAGATAAATGTCCATTTGTTGTGACTGTAGATTTGGCCTGATAGTTAACTTTCCTTTTTTTTTTTTTTTTTTTTTTTTTTTTTTCTTTTTTTTTTTTCTTTTTTTTTCTTTTTTTTTTTCTTTTTCTTTCTTTTTTTTTTTTCTTAATTTGAGAGAGACAGAGAAAGAGGGCACACAAGTGGGGTAAAGGGGCAAAGGGGAAGAGAAAATCTTAAGCAGCCTCCACATTCAGTGTGGAGCCTGACGCAGAGCTCGATCCCACAACCCTGGGATCATGACCTGAGCCAAAATCAAGAATCAGATGCTCAACCAACTGAGCCACCCAGGCCCCCCCTCTTTTTCCTTTTTGCCTGATAGTTAACTTTCAGAACTTGAAAAACGTGTCAAAGGAGAAAGAATATGTGGTTATATATTTATCAGAATTTCACAGAACTAGCAGTTGCCTTGTACATAATAATTTTTGTTGTAATCTGTCAGTGACCAAACTACATTCTACCTCTGCCATCTTAACAGAGCCACTAGCCCTTAAGAAGGGTCAGGAATAAGTGACTGATAAAGTGCAAGCTGTTTTTTGGCATTAATATGTTATTATGTAAGCCAGCACTGGGAATTTGACTGGCAGTAGCAGAATTTCTTTCATTAATGACTAAGAATGATGTCTGTATAGAGAATTGGCTTAACTTTTCACAGTTTAATTTACATCAAGCTTAGATAGGTTTATTTGAATTTCCATTGGCTTTCCTAACCCTGTGTCGGTGATACCAATGATACAGTTGTAGAAATAATGAAAACAAGGTAGAAAATCGTTGGCGCTCCCATCTCTGCATCATCTGTCTTCTCTCTTCTACCCCTGTCTCCTCCACACTGAGCAGCACTGCTGTGGAAGACGTGAGCAGTGTAGCCTGCGGTACCACATTGCCTGGCTCTGTCCTTCCCCCACAGACACTCAGCCCCCAGCCCACCCCCTCCTTGTCATTTCCCTGGGAAGGTACAGAAAAGCTGTCAAGGCAGGCACTAGCCTGTCATCTGCTTTCCGCCTACACCCCTTCCCAAACCTGACTCCCCCGTCAGGCTCCACCACCATCGTCATCAACCACCCCCTAGTACATACACACAAAGAACAAAAACATTTTGTAAAAATAGGCCCGTTGTGTAATTTAGGCATTATTACGTTAACTACAAGTATACTCAGTACAGTAGTCAGGAAAGCTCTAATACAAGACTATCTTTCCCCATCACTAAGAGTCAGTATAGTTATTATTTGGATTTGACATTTGCCAGCAGCTGCCAACCCCCCAAACAGCTGTTCAGTAAGTCACCCCACCCTCCCTGCTCTGCTCATGTCAGTAGTCTGTTTTGCTGCTGCACATCGACTGCTGCCTACCTGTTAACTTATTTCTCCTGTTCCCTGAATACCAGAGAGTTAAGATACTCAGAAAAAAAGGAGGCCATCTCCAAAAGGCAGTAGCGAGAAGCCAGAGGGCATTTGGGCAATAATTGCCCCCAAAGTCAAATATCAGATAAAGGGGAATGCAGTGGGGAGAAGGAGTGAGCCACAGAAATGATGCATCGACAGTCACTGCGCTTCACCTCCACTCACACATTTTCAGTCATTTTCCACTGCTGCCACCCACTCATACCCTCCTGCAGTTATTCTGAACTTGGCTCCAGTGACCAGAGCATTTACTCTCCCAGCAGACAGAAGAAGTCTCCATTCAGTCCTCGGGTGAGGAGTTCAGTGAGGACTCCCTTCCCCTATTCCTCCTCCTTTCCAGTGGCTCTTGACCATCAACAATCCCCTTATTTTGGTGTACCCATTTGTACTGTGGTCTGTAGTCATGTATATAGTCTGTAATTCCTAGTGGAGATAAGACATTTCCTAAGTAACATGAACAAGTGGAATTTTTTAAAAACAGTTTTATTAAGCTGTAATTCACATACCACACAGTTCACCCATTTAAATTGTTCAACTCAGTGCTTTTTAGTATATTCACAGAGTTGTACAGCTGTCACCATAATCGAATGTTAGAACACTTTTGTCCCCCCTAAAAGAAATGCCCATTAGTGATCAATCTCTATTCTCCCCTTAACTGCCTGCCTCTACCCCTACATAACCACTGATTTGTTTTTTGTTCCTACGGATCTCCCTATTCTGGGAATTTCATATAAAGAGTCATACAATATATGGTCTTTTGTAACTGACTTCTTTGAGTATAATATTTTCAAGGGTTATCCATATTGTAGCATGTATTGGTATCTCGTTTCATTTTATCAAGTACTATTCCATTGTATGGATATTCCATATTTTAACTGTTCATCGGTAGACATTTGGGTTGTTTTCACTTTTGCACTATTATGAATCTTGCTTCTTTGAACATCTGTGTACAAGTTTTGTGTGGATATTAAGTTTTTATCTCTCTTGGGTCCATACCTAGGAGTAGAATTGCTGGATAATAGAACAAATGGAGTTTAACCAATCTTCCTTTAATTCAGGGTTTTATGATTATCTCATGCAAACATCTCATCTTTTTAATCCAGATGTGGACGCCAACAGAGAGCTGCCACTCACACAGCCACCCTCAGCCCACTCGTCCATCCCCAGTGGAAGCTGCCCAGGGACCCCAGAAATGCGCAGGCGGCAGGAGGAGGCCATGCGGAGACTAGCCTCACAGGTACAGTAAGGCTCCCAGGGTGCAGACATGCTAGCTCCATTGTAACCCCAAGGGGCAAAGGTAGGGGGACCCTTGGCAAAGTGGACAAAACGTATACAGCTATACCATGAGACCATGGGGAAAATTTTCTCTTCCGGCTCCTAGAAAAATGCTTTGTTATTATGGGATCAGAGCCTTTTTGTTTGAAAGGCCCTCAGAAATAACCAGAGTCCCATAATGAATAGATAAGGAAGTCGAGACTCGAAGAAGTTATATGATTTCCCCAAGATCACAGTATTAGCACTCAGCAGTTTTTTATTTTCACTCCTATTCAAAACTCTTCCTGCCATACTATACTGTCCATAATATTTTTTAGGTTTTTGAGTCTTAAATTTCTATTTTAATCAAAGTAACATATGCATGATTTTTGAAAATTAAATAATACTCAAAGACTTATAATAAAACCCAGCAATTCTTTTCCCCTCCTCACCCCACCCTCTCCCCAAAGGCACCACTTTCAACTCTTAGGGCTGTTCTTCTGATCTTTACCTCCACTGTTTCTAAATAATATTCATATACTGCTATAACTTTTCTCATCATTTTTATACGTTATCTATTGCTGCTTGTTAAGGATGTTGAGAATTTTACATCTTTCATTTTCCTTCCTCCCTCCACCATTTCAGTATGGTTATATCATGATTTTTGTCAGAATCCACATTATAATATCTTCAGTATTAGTACTGTGCACATATGGTTCACTGTGGAACCAAGGATAATATTTCCTTCCTGAGCAATTTTGTTTTTCCTGGGATTTGAAATGCCTAATTTTAAAATTTGCTTATTCTTGCTGTGGTGGGGGAGGCGCCTAGCTGGCTCAGTCAGAAGAGCATGTAACTCTTGCTTGGGGTCATGAATTCAAGCCCCACATTGTGTGTGTAGCCTACTTATAAATTAAATTAAATTAAATTAAATTAAATTAAATTAAATTAAATTGGCTTATTCTTTTTTAAACCTATCTCTATAATCCATAATCTTTAATAACTTTGTAAAAAGCCTCTTGGTACAAGTTTACACATCAGTGTCATTTCCCCTGAGACGTCCATCTCAGCTCAGGCTGGACCTAGGATGTTCTCGAGGCTAGTTGTTATCCTGGAAATTCCTATTACTTCTCTTCTGTGTTGGCTCCCACATCATCATCTTTCTTGATTTTATTCCTCATTTTGGTGGAACACGTCCACCAGTGGCTTCCTAAGAAAGAATGCACAGGAGGTAAGTTTTTGAAACTTAATGTTTTTAAAAGTATCTTTATTCGATTCTCATACATTACTGTTTATTTGACACAACATAATTCTAGGTTAAAAATAATTTTCCCTCAGAATTGTGAAGGCATTGCTCCATTGTCTTGAGCTTCTAATAATTTTGTTACTAAATAATTATTCTTATTCCTAGTTCTTTATACCTGTTTTTCTCTCCAGAAACTTTTAGGAACTTCTTTTTTATAAGCTTTTTTCTTGGGTTTTTTTTCCATTTATTCTGTTAGCATCTAGTATAAACCTTGTATAAACTTCAAATAATTTCTGTATTTTCAGTTCCCTTCCTCACCCCCCTCTTGCACAGGACCTGGTGCTTCCAACCTCATGCTTTTCTGAGGTTTTATAGCTGCTTTGGTTTAGTCCTGTTGTTATTACTTCCAGCAGGCATTTGTTTCACCTAATTCTATTTGTTAAGTCATTTATGAAGCCTATATCCACTTTCCATCCTTATATGTTATAAGCTGAGGTCATAGATAGATATCCCTATAGGTGGAGTTTGCATTTCTCTTCCTTATTCCCCATATTTTTGAGGATTTTCAAGAGAAGAACAAGAGTTTAAAATGTCTGTCTCCAATATTTAAAGAAATTTCTTGGCATGGTTAATTACTAATGAGGAACAGAGAGTCATCTGCAATATCATAAAGTTCTAACTTCTTCATGGAAATCCAGTCCACCCAGAGCCCAAAACAGCACATTTCCCCCAACTGCATTTTTAAGTGTCTCCACTTATCAGTGGGCCTTCTGAAAACAGTCTGAGATTTCCCTCATATTCATTGCTAACTCAGTGCAACTTTAAAAAAACATCATTTTTTTTCTAAATAGTTTGTATAAACTAGTTCCAGCCTCTTCTTTAAAAGAATCTAAATAAATGTCACCTTGGAAATACTGTACACTGAATGCTGAAGTCCTTCCATCATTATAGTCACTCACATACTCACTTAGAATTGATGTGTGGAATGACTCTAATACAAGCCTGAAGTTAAGGTGGTGAACAGAACAGACAACAATCCCTGCTGTTACATGGCCCACGTTCTCACGGTGGGAAAAGCCAGCAAACAAACATGTAATATGTCAGATCGTGACAAGTGCTGAAAAGAGCTCAGGGATTGTTGTCACTTCTTAGTCTCTCTCTCATCAAGAGAAAGAATCTCAAGATGTTTATGTTCAATATTCGGAAAATGTTACATATTGTTAGCAGGAAATTAGTGACTACACTTACTTAAGAGGTGATCTCATTTTAAATTCCATGCTTGTGTCTATCTTAAGCAAAATACTGTATAAATAAATCATTTTTGTGCCTATAGATGAGATATTTTTAAATTTATATTAAACATTGTGTACGAAATGGCCCTTTAAATTAAAATTAACGTTTATGTTCAAGATTTGGAAAATGTTAAATATTGTAAATAGGAAATTAGTGATTGTTTACACTTACTCAAAGAACATAATTTAAATTTCATGATTATTTCTTCCTTAAGCAAAATATGAATGCACCTTTTTGCACCTAGAGATGGGATATTTTTAAGATTATAGTAAATGTTGTACAAGAAATCGCACCTTAGATTAAAATTAAATATTCTCCTGGTAATTGTGCCACGTGTTACATTTCAAGTATACAATTTGTTCTTAGTAGCCTAGAGCAGAAGCCAGCAGTCTTGCCTCTCGCTATAACAAGCCAGTAAGCAGAAACCTTTTCAATAAGATTTTGAAATCAATTAGTATTTTGATGAGGTAAGCTAATATATGTGAGTTAAAAGTGTTCTTGAAAAACCTCTTGAGGGGCGCCTGGGTGGCGCAGTCGGTTAAGCGTCCGACTTCAGCCAGGTCACGATCTCACGGTCCGTGAGTTCGAGCCCCGCATCAGGCTCTGGGCTGATGGCTCAGAGCCTGGAGCCTGTTTCCGATTCTGTGTCTCCCTCTCTCTCTGCTCCTCCCCCGTTCATGCTCTGTCTCTCTCTGTCCCAAAAATAAATAAACGTTGAAAAAAAAAAAAATTTTAAAAAAAAAAAAAAGAAAAACCTCTTGATTTGACAAAGTTCTTAGTGCCAATTCTTGTGTATCAGTAATTACCATTGGTATTTTCAGGATGTACTGTTAGGTGGGGAGGAAAGTACAAAGGAGTGTTGATGGGATGCTAACTTTCATATAATAAAGAAAGGGATATAAAAAAATACATGTGTACCTGCTTATTTGTCCAGAAGAAATGTAGGAAGGATAAACCAGAAAGAAAAGATACTGGTTACCTAAAGCAGATGGGTAGGAAAGAAGGAGAGTAGAAAGAAATGGGTAATGAGAATGGGGTACAGGGATGAAGAGTAAGTGACACTTCTCTGAATATATCTTTTCGTATAGCTGTGACTCTTAGAAACATGGTAATGTTTCACTTACCCAAAAAATAATTAAAAATAACCAGTATGTGGGGGCTGGGGAGCCCAAAGTGTAATGCAAACACTCACAAATACACCTAACTGTATTTCACATAAATAACATGACCACACTGAAGAAGGCAGAGGAGAAAAGAACTTAAATAAGTTTGGAAGGTAACATCTTGACTGAATACCGTAAGGCTAAAGACAAAAAAGAACTGTGCATAAATGCTATATTCTAATTAATAAATGTTTTCTCACAGGAGTATGGCTCACAGTTTTGAAAATCCTTCATGTATTTATTAGAAATGATTGATTGAATAAATAAATGTATTGTAAATAGCAAGACCAGGTTTCTCATTGTTGGAGAAAGAAGTTAACAGATGAAGAAAAGGAAATCTAAAGAGAGCCAGGTGATACTGAATTGAAATCTGAGGTATTAGTATATACTCACAATTTTTAATATATGTATCTATAGATATTTCTATAGATATATAGAGAGAGAGATACAGCAATATAGATAAATCTTCATATGTGAGTTAATATATTACATGCATTTCCTAGCTCTCTCCACTGAGAGGGCCCCAAATCACAGTCACTTCAGTAGCAATATGCACACCTAACTAATTCAGATCTTGTTTTCTAACATCATTCTCCAGTAAAAGAAACCAGGGCTCTGAAGAGGTTAGATGATGCCAGGTCTGGGGCAGGGTAAATATAAGATGAGCCTGGAGCATCTTCTGATACCAGAAAGCAAGGAAGTGCTTTTAAAAAGATGGGGGGGAGGGGGGGTGTGCTTCTTGAAAGAGCCCAGACACCAACCCGAAGGAGTTGGTGTAATGTAGAAGGATAATAATAATAATATATGTAGAAGGAATAATAAATGTAGAAGGAAAGAAGGAAATAGAAAATCACTATTAGGCAAACACCACGTGATAATTGTTACAGACAAGATCCACTGATGGATACTAAAGTTAGTGGGCAAAAGTTTGAGGAGAAACAGGATTTGCATGTTTCAAAGTGTCTCCCCCAAGATACTTATTAACTACGAAGGAAGAGAGAGTAACTTTATAGTACAGAAATCTGGCAGAAATCTTTACCTTAACCAAGGTGATGAAGGTCAGCATCACCAGTGACAAGACATGTCAACATCATGACCCCATGATATGATCCATGAGAAGGACACAACATTGTTTTTGTGGTATTCTTGCCCAAAAATCTCAGTTGGATTATGAGGAAGGCATCAGACAAACTCAGACTGACATTCACCAGAATAACTGGTCACTACTCTTCGAAAGTGTCAAGGTCATGAAGACAAATACCAAAGAGCTCTTACAGACTACAGGAGTCTGAGGAGAAATAGCAACAATAAATGCAGTACAGGGTCCTGGATAGAATCTTGTTGCAGAAAAAGGACATTAGTGGAAAACTAGTAAGATCTGAATAATGCCTTTACTTAACAATACTATGCCAGTGTTATTTCCTAGCTCTGATAATCATTCTTTGGTTATGTAAGATATTAATAAAAAGAGAAGCTGGGTGAGGGATATACGGAAATTCTGTGTACTACTTTTGCAACATTTCTGAAAGTCTAAAATTAGTTCAAAATAAAAAGTTAAAAAGTAAATAAAACTCTTACTGCCAAAAAAAAAAAAAAAGTAGAGCTCTGAGCTGGAAAATTACTGAGGCAGAACCCAAGTCTGGGAGCTATTCTTAGCTTCCAGCCTGAGTGAGGATTAGAGTTGGGGGACAGGGAAGGGGAAGAGAAGGTCATTATTCATACTGAACCTCCTGGTCCCTGGAAATCTTGGAAGCCACACTAACGTGTTGGAAGCGATGCGCCGAGCAAGAAATCAGGTGGGGATGAGGAGATTCAAAAAGTGATGAAAAGAAGACAGGGAGTAAGAGTATGAGGGCAGACCTGAGGGAGAGTACTTGCAGCATTAGAATTTAAATGATACAAATGCCAGTCATTACGCAAATCAGATGTTTATGTCCAAATGAATTCCACATAGAGCTGTCTTTGCTTTATATGAGATTAGCTTAGTCCTGTCACAGATTATTCATTTCTTTAAAGTGGAAAATGGTCTTTGGAGAGTGAAGGCCTGGGACTTGTAACGCAAACCTGACAGATTTCCTGTCACTCAGTCATTTGATTAGGGCCTTTGATGAGGATTATACTTCATTTTATGATTTCTTGTATACAGCATTAAGTCAAAGCTTTTTTTTTTTTTTTGAGATTTTATTGTTTACCTGGGACTTGTAACACAAACCTGACAGATTTCCTGCTACTCAGTCATTTGATTAGGGCCTTTGATGAGGATTATACTTCATTTTATGATTTCTTGTATACAGCATTAAGTCAAAGCTTTTTTTTTGAGATTTTATTGTTTAAGTAATCTCTACACCCAGTGTGGGGCTCAAACCCACAACTCTGAGATCAAGAGTCACATGTTCCACCAACTGAGCCAGCCAGATACCCCAAATCAGAGCTCTTTATACCCAAAGCTATACTGACCTCTGGTCTTTTCTTTTGTCTATATAGCCTACAAACCTACCCTTTTCTTTCTTCCCCTCATAGGAGTAATCTAAAATTTACTTGCTGTCTTCCCCAAAGAATTAATATAATTCTGGTCATATTGGGTATACTTTGAATAGAATTATTTCAACAAAAAGTATAGAGATTTAATGTAAAAACTTGAGATGGAGAAAAATTAATATGACAGACATAGCTGAAAATGAGATTTCAACACATCACCAGGAGAGACAAAAGTTCCCAAGGAGAAAGGTTTCACCCACTGGTTTACTAGGGGTGGACTAATTCTGAATCACTTCCAAGAAGTTGGAATAATAGTGACTGAATATAGGTGGCTGTGATAACTTTCTCAAAGCTGTAGGGAGGGATCTAATACCACTGAACACTGGTACGATGAGAGACTGAAGAAAAAAACCACATTACCAGACTTGTTTCCTATTTTATATGTAGGAAAAGTTGTGAATGAGGTCAATAGATAATTTGGAGCAAGTACCAAATAGTTTGGACAAATGTACAGATGTTTGTAAATTACTGTGTATGTATTGTGTGCTGCACAACTACTTTGAAATGTCTAGTAAATAACCTATTTTGAGCCACACTTCATATTTTGTGATGTTGAATGGTCTTTCTGCTTGAATTGAGCAAAGCAGTCGAGATTTTATATTTGGAATGCCAAAGAAATATTTTAAATTAAGAGAAAGGTAACCACAGAGGGGTATCTTTGTTAGATAAATCCTCACTCAGCCAAGAGCACAGCTGATTTTTAATAAAACCAGTAAGAGAAACCTCTTCCTAAGTTTTAGAATTTTTATCTTCCAACTTCTATCCCATGACTTTAGGTAAAGGGTAAGTTACAGCTGATTTTCTTAGCTGTGCTTGGCCTCCACATGTGGAATCAATTGAGGTAAAATATGATGAAAGTTCTTATTGATTCAGAGGTTTGCTGTTTGCTTCTTATGAAGTGGATATTTGTATCCATGCAGACATAACCACTGACATTCACTGTTCATTGAGAGAACAGAGCAATTGCTGCCAGGTTTTCTCTTTGGTTCCTTATATTGTGCTTGTAATAGGCAGTAAAGCAGTGACCAATCCATCTGAAGAAAAGAGTGGAGATTTTTAGAATATAACTTCTTATTTCCAGTTCCATATTGTGTTCAGATATCATTGCTTCACTCAGAAGCAATTCCTATCGTCAGTCTTATGTGTATAGTAACATCTCCCCATATTAAGGTTTTGTGTGTATGCTTAATGAGAAGGATTTCAGGTTTTTTTTTTAAGTGACATTTCTAGTATTTGTTAAAGATGACCATACCTATAGGTCAGGAGCCTTTTCAGAATTGAACACTTTAATGGATGATTGTTCTCTGAGAAATGATAGAAGAACTGAAGTCCCAGTGGTATATCTATATCTCCTAGGGCAATTTTCAGGTGCCTAAAGATGCAAAGCCAGTAGCTAAAAAAAAGAGAGACTATACAGAATCTTGATGATGATGATGATGATGATGATGATGATGATGATGATGGAGAGGAGGAGGAGGGCGATGATGATGATGATGGCAGCATCAGCTAACATCACTGTGTACCTACTTTGTGCTGAGCTCCATGCTGAGTACTTTCCATATATTCAGGCTAAATCTCCCCTGCCAATTTCATGTTACCTCCTCAGTCCCATCACTTTTGTGAGTAGTACTGAGTCAACAGAGTGCTATAGATTAAAACCACCCTCGGCACACCTGGGTGGCTCATTCGGTTGAGTGTCCGACTTCAGCTCAGGTCATGATCTCGCAGTTCATGGGTTCTAGCCCTGTGTCAGGATCTGTGCTGACAGCTCAGAGCCTGGAAGCTGCTTCAGATTCTGTGTCTCCCTCTCTCTGCCCCTCCCAACTTGCGCTCACTCTCTCGCTCTCTCTCGTTCAAAAAGAAATAAACATTAAAAAATACATAAAAAAAAAAAAAAACCACTCTCTGCACTTGGTCTTGAGGCAAAGAAAACAACCAGGAGGTATGGAGTGAGCTCTGTGCAAATTCTGACCAAAAAAATATCCTAGAGATTAAAACCAGGTTCCAGCCAGACAGCCTAGATCCTGGATGATATTAAGACTCACACATTTTCTAAAGTTCTTTGAATTTAAGACCTGCATCTAACAAAACTCTCGCTCCTTTCTTTTTTCCTCTTATCTAATTCTGATTGTCTCTGGATGCTAGAAAATATTTAATGTTAATTCTTAAATCTGAATTATTTTTATAAAGCTATTTATAAAGCACATTAATTTTAAAAAGTAAGGACTTAATAAGTATATGTGGTTATTGAGATTAACATGGTTTTCCTGTGATTATTTTATTCCTAATGCTTTGTTACAAGATTGGACTTTTTCCTTTACTGTTCCGTGCTCAGTACCTATTAGAGAGATTAATGTAAATCTTTATTCTCAGTCTTATTTCCTATCTCTTATAATCCAAAACCCACATCCTGCAAAGGAATCTTCTAATCCAAAACTCAGTTTGCATTTATAAATTTTAATTGTGAATTATGATATATGTATAAATAGAAATAGTGTATCAGATTTCTGATCTTAGATAAATCAGGCAGTTTCTAAGATAGCAGCTTTTGTTTTCACTTGAAAAAGTTGAGGAACGGGGAGACAGAAGACAGTGTTAGAGAATGATCATACAATAACCATGGCTCTTGTTCCCAGTAAACCTATTTGTATTCTCATCCTTCTGTTGTAGGTGGTTGCCTATCACTATTGCCAAGCAGATAATGCCTACACCTGCCTGGTACCAGAATTTGTCCACAATGTTGCTGCCCTGCTCTGCCGCTCACCTCAGCTGGCAGCCTATCGGGAGCAGCTTCTTCGGGAGCCTCATTTACAGAGCATGCTGAGCCTTCGGTCCTGTGTTCAAGACCCCATGGCCTCCTTCCGGAGGGGAGTCCTGGAGCCCCTGGAGAATCTCCACAAAGGTACAGAAGGCAAAGAAGGTGAAAGGTGGAAGCTTTGGAGCCCAAGTTCACCTAGAGTGTGTCATGGAAATGACTATTTTTATTACATTTGCCAAAACTGAATGTTCCATAGCTGATGTCCCACAGGATACAGTTAACAGATAAAAGATTTTTCTTGAAAAAATAAAACTTCATATGGGAAATGCTACTCCCTCCTTTCTTTATAAAGATTCTCATTTCCAAAAAGAATACATTTTCCTTGCACTAAACATAGTAGAGCTTCTAGTCCTTTCTGTAGAATTCAAAAAATCAGTAAAGCCATGACTCCAGCTCAGTGTTGTGGAGTTTGTGTGGTTAGAAACCTCCTCATCTTTATGTTTGGTATTTTTTTATTACTTCACAGTTGAGGTAGAATGAAATGGCATCCATGGTCTCACAACTCTGTGTGTGTACTACAAATCAACTTTCCATTAAAACTAGTTAGAAGGCATTGAAGATATTTTTAAGAAGTGGGGGAAAGTATGAAATGGAATCCATCCCCCTCTCATGCCTCTCCTCCCCTTTTCCTCTGCAGCCCCGGTGTCCACCATGGCGTACGTACAGGCATCTCCTTCACCCTTGTCTGCCCCATCCCTTTAACAATTTTTTATCAGTGCTGGAAGCCAGAGGAAAGGACTTGAGTGAGCATGAGGTTCCTGAGCAATCCTGTTTATCCCCGAAGGACTTTCACATCTTTCTTGAGGGTTTCAGAGGTACTCAATACGAAAAAGTGATCATGGTTTCCGTTCTCCTGGCCGCCATCGTCAGTTATTTCAGTCTCCATACTAGTTACTTGGGTATCAGAGTTTCAGACTTCTCAACTCTGATGACCTGTCTATACCTCTCCTACCTGTTAGCTTCTCTACACCCGAGACTTTTTTAAACCTTGGAATTTCTCCACAGATATTTTGAAGCATATTTTCTGTACAGTTAGTCTACATCCTGCTAATTGCACCTTCATGATGTTTCTTACATCCATCAGTCTCATATTCATTCCTGCCACTGTGAACCCAAAGGCCATTCAGTGACCTTTGCTCACAGCATCATATCGATTACTACCTTCCTGGTCTTCTCTAGTTTTTTGGTTTAGTGCTTCTTTCACATCATAGCACAGAAAATTATAAAAATTGGTATCGCATACTAGGATAAAAAATTCACAACTCCTTATGGCTAGACATGAATGGCCCTGAAGTTACAGCTATGCCAAGCCCCCAGTACCTTGAGGGCTAAAAGGATTCAATTTTTAAGCACACCTCTAACCTCTAACCCCTTTGTGACCTATCTGGTGGGGAAGCTCAGCCCCACCCTCGGCGGCCTTCTAGACTTTATATACTGCTTCCAAATAAATCTTCATCGTTTTACTTTGATCACTCAATTTTCCTGCTCAGAAACCTCCAATGACTCCCTGTTGCCTAGTGAATTAACTTCCAGCTTCTTAGTCTAGCATTTAAGGTACTCAATGGCATGGATCCAACCCACTTTCCAGCCTTACTATATACTCTTATCTGTATTAATCCTGTGTTTAAAATGTAAAATATTCACCAGTTCTTAAACACTCACCGACATTTTCCTGCCTTCATACATTTGCTCATTGTTTCCTTTTCTTGTTATGCCTTCTGCTTACACCTCTGTCAAAATTCTGTCTTTCAACAACCAGCTTAAATGCCGCTTCATTCATAAAATGCTTGCTGATCCACCTGTCACCCTATATAGAGCATCCTTCCAAATTGACATTAGGGGTTTTTTTATTTCTAAGTTATGATACTTAACACATTGTTATATGCATAATAAGAATTTAAAATTTTATTACTTTTACAGAACTATATGTCAAATACTATACTTTGTACTTTATAAGAATTAGTTATTTGTTTACTTGTCCTATCCCTTTAACTAAATTTTATACTACTGAAATTAGGAACCTTTGCTCATACATCTTTTATCTTTCGTAGTGGTTATCTCACCTTGAACATAGTAGTCATTTCAGGAAATAAAGTTTGAACAAATGAGTGAACATAGAAATTGCTCACAATACCGAGTGCCTTGATGGAAGGACAGTGATAACATGGACCTGCATCCTAGGCTGATTCAAGGAGAAGATCCAGATGCTTGCAGACTCAGCTCTGGAGTCTCAACCATGACTAACATGTTTTAATTTTGCTTCTGGATATATTTGCTGCTCACATAGGTCTCCAGAAACAGCTTTAGATACCCTTATTGATAAATATTATTCTAAGTGAATTTAATTATTCTACCTAATGCCCATGTTCTTTTAAAACAAAATCCCCTGGGGCGCCTGGGTGGCGCAGTCGGTTAAGTGTCCGACTTCAGCCAGGTCACGATCTCACGGTCCGTGAGTTCCAGCCCCGTGTCGGGCTCTGGGCTGATGGCTCAGAGCCTGGAGCCTGTTTCCGATTCTGTGTCTCCCTCTCTCTCTGCCCCTCCCCCGTTCATGCTCTGTCTCTCTCTGTCCCAAAAATAAATAAACGTTGAAAAAAAAAAAAAATTTAAAAAAAAAAAAATTTTTTTAACTTAAGTACAGTTGACACACAATGCTACATTAGTTTCAGGTATGTAACACAGTTCAGTTTCTCCATACATTATGCTATCCTCACCACCAGTGTAGCTACCATCTGTCACCGTACAACACTTTTATGGTATCTCTGACTGAATTCTCTATGCTCTGTCTTTTATTACCTCTCATTCCATCTTTCAAAAAAAATTTTTATTCGCTTTCCTGCCTTATAAGTTAATAAAATAATTTTTAGTATTTCATCATTTATTTTATAAATTGTGTTTCTAGCTATTGATCATGATGGGGATTTTGTTTTAAAATTTTTTTTTTTTCAACGTTTATTTATTTTTGGGACAGAGAGAGACAGAGCATGAACGGGGGAGGGACAGAGAGAGAGGGAGACACAGAATCGGAAACAGGCTCCAGGCTCCGAGCCACCAGCCCAGAGCCCGACGCGGGGCTCGAACTCACGGACCGCGAGATCGTGACCTGGCTGAAGTCGGACGCTTAACCGACTGCGCCACCCAGGCGCCCCAAGTTAAAAATTTTTTTAATTAAACTTTTTGAAAAATAAAAACATAAGAAAATAAAATGAGTGTTGTGTTAGGCTGCTACAAAAAGAAGCATTAAGTCAAGCAGAGAAAGAAAAATACTATATGATCTCATTTATCTGTGGAATCTAAAAAAAAAAAACCAAAACGAAAAAAAAAAAAAAAAAAAAAAAAAAAACCATCTCATGGATACAGAAAACAGGTTGGTGGTTGCCAGACATGGAGGGTGAGGTATGAGAAATGGAAGAATGGGATCAAAATATACAAACTTCCAATTATAAAATAAATAAGTCATGGAGATGTAATATACAGCATGGTGACTATAGTAATTATACTGTATTGCATATTTGAAACTTGCTAAGAGAGTAAATCTTAAAAGTTCTCATCACAGAAAAGTTTGTAATTGTGTAAGGTGATAGATGTTCGCTAGACTTGTGATTATCATTTTACAGTGTACACAGATGTCGAATCATTATGTTGTAGACCTGAGAGCAAAAAAAATCAAATTAAATGTTTTTAAAAAGATGATAGACTTAAAATCAATCATACCAATAATCACATTAAGTTTAAATGGACTGAGCATTTCTATTAAAAGGCAGAAACTTTCAGACCAAATAAAAAGCAAGACCCAACAATATGCTATAAGAGAGGTCATCTAAATACAAAGACGCAGATTAAAAGGATAGAAATATATATACCTTGTAACCACAGAGCATAAGAAAACTGGAGTGTTACATTAATGTGAGGCTGAGTAGACTTCAAGACAAGTAGTGTTACCAGAGGGGCATTTGATAAACATAAAAGGACCAATTCTTGGGAAGATAAAAATAATCCTAAGTGTGTATATACCGAATAACAGAGGCTCAAATTATGTGAATCATTGTCAAATTGCCATGTTGTACCCCTGAAATGAATATAACATTGTGTATCAACTGCACTTCAATAGTAAATATTTGTATGAAAAAAATTATTTCAAAATAAAAATTTTAAGTTAAAAAAATACATGAGTCGAAAACTGATAGAACTGAAGAGATAAACAGGCAAATAATCATAGCTGGAGATTTTAACACCTCTCAGTAAGTGTTAGAAGAAGCAGATAAAAAGTAAATATATAGAAGATTTAAACAACACTATCAACCAACCTGATACACTCGCAATTTATAGACTACTACCCAGTAACTACAGAGTATACATTCTTCTCAAGTGCACAAGGACCATATTCTGGGCCATAAAACCAAGTCTGAAGATTTCAGGAAGTTAAAATCTTATGGAAAATATCATCTGAGATAATGGAACTAAATAAGAAATCAATAAAAATAAAATTCTCAAATATTTAGAAATTTAACAACATACTTCCAAATAATCTTTGAGACAAAGAAGAAACCACAAAGGAAATTATAAAATATTTCAAAATGAGTAATATAAAATCAACATCTAACTTTCTGAGTTAATAAACTAAAAAAAATGAGGAAAATAAACCCAGACTAAGCAGAAAGAAGAAAATAGTAAAAACAAGAATAGACATCAATAAATAGAAAAAATTTAACATTTAAAATGAGTAAACCACTAGCAAGACTTACCATGGAAATGAGAAAAGAAAAACTCAAATTAACATCAGGAATAAAAGAGGAAATAGCACTACAGTTCCTATAAGACATTAAAAGAAAAATAAGGAATTAGTATGAAGACCTTTATAACATAAATTCAATGACATAAGCTGGACAAAATCTCCAAAAAATATAGCTTACCAAAAGTGACTCAAGAAGAAATAGAAAATCTGAATAGCTTTATCTAGTCAATTTAATTTGTAATTTAAAAAAAATTTTTTAACATTTATTTATTTTTGAGAGACAGAGTGTGAGCAAGGGAGGGGCAGAGAGAGAGAGGGAGACACAGAATCTGAAGCAGGCTCCAGGCTC